GAATGCAAGGAATCCAGCTATGAGCCGTACAAGTTTTCTGCCTCTTGCATTGTGGGGGGTTGGTCACATACTTGAAAGGCCTCAAGATTTCAAATCTTTTCCTAAGTATGTAAGTCAGCAGAAGTTTCCAATCCTTTACATACCCCACACGCAGCCTAGGTGTGTCCAACCAAAAAATATCCCTTTTGTAGGGAAAAAAATTATCCCAGTGTCACCCTGTTCTTGTCCTCAGCCCTTGGGGTACTTTAACCATCTGGACAGGGACTCCACTTCTGTGCTCTGTTTTCCCTGCCTGCCCCAGTGCTGAAACAGGCAGCAGTGGCCAAGGTGAGGGGAAGGACAGACGACAGCACAGGTGTGTGACAAACTGCTGTGCACATTTAGCTACATTAGCCCTGCAGTACACTTAAATAACAAAAAATTGTGTTTAATAACTGAGAAGCGACGCTGAGGAATGCAAACGAAGGGCTGAAAAGTAAAGGAAACTATGCAGCAAGGGCAATTACCAGTCGGTTAACAGAAAAAATAGTTAACCTGCATTTACAATGAAAATGGGCACCACCTATTTCTTATTGTCATCCCAGGGTAGTGGGATTTCAGTTCAGAAAAAGTGTATCTCACAGAGTATTACATTTTGCAGCAACAACTTTTCACCTATAGATAATCCAGTCCTATTCATAAACATATTTATTTACTAGTTCCTAGGAAAAAAAAAGTCACAGTATGTTCTCATTCTCAGGGGTCCTTCATATGTCACAGCCTGGAAATCAAGAGGCTGACTGCCAGGAAAATGCTGTGTACCTGAACACCAAGACCACCCAGCCTGACTGAAGCCTCCAGAGATGTCACTGAAGCCCTCAGCAGGTGCTGAAGTTGCTGCAATTGACTTCTCCAATCTCACTGTGATGGCACTGCCATTTACCTACAGACCATTCAATAAACCTGAAGTGGGTTTGAATCATTTGCAACAACAGCTGATCAAACAAGCTTTTTACAAGCCTCACGTTCCCCCCACGACGACTGTAACCCCAGTCTGTAGCCGGTGAAGAGAAAACCCACAGACAGTGCCCTGGAAAAAGAGCTGAGAGAAATCCACGTAGTAAACCGGAGTCTTACACCTGTGCTGATGATTAAATACTGAACAAGTTTATTTTTTGTCTGCCTTCTTGTCACAGAATACTTTTTATAGATTTTCTTTTTAAAATATACATCGCCTACGAGTTTAAGGAATCAAGAGTCCTAAAAGCTCCTGGCAGCAGGGAGGGCTGGCAGGGCAGCACCCACCGTGGTTCCCGGGACACCAACACTCCCACATACAAACGAGCAACAAACCAAAACACGGCGGCCGATTCCCTCCAGCTGCCCACGGCTCCGCAGTTTTTTCCCTTAAAGGACAAGCCAGCCCGAAATGTGCGTGCCATCAGGATCCTCCATGAGAGCTCATTAACTCGCAGCGCCTCGGACTCTGAAACGCTGCCTGCGGAGGTTTTTTTTTGCTTTCTTAAACAAATGAACAACTCTGCAGACAGTTTGCAGCAAAGTCAGACAAGTTTAACTACTACAAATTTTGCCTAGTCTATTAAGTCCAGCATACCGGCTCCTTACTCAGCACTCCCAGCGCTGGGGGTGTCCTCGCCAGCTTTACTTTTGATTGTCTTTAGGGGGGGGGGGAAACACGTTCAGTAAAGTATTGAAAGCTCAGCGTGCAGACAAGCAACCCAAGAATAACTCAGCACTTTGTACAGCTGCCCACAAACCGGTCTCTATTTTATCGAGCCCCACCACCTACCAAGCAGGACTATTTCTGTTGTCCTCATTTCCCCGCTGTTCTCCCCCAGCCACACGCACACAACCAGCATTCCCGTGCCGGGCGCTCCAGCCCCAGACACCAGTTGCGGGGAAGAGCAGGTCCTGCCCAAAAACAGCACCCGCAGCTCTGGGGAACTTTTCCCTGCCGTGGCAGTGCTGGGGACCACTTTCCCACTGCCCCAGCCGCTGGGTTTGGGGGCTGTGACACCAGCACCCCCTCCCCAGCTCCTAGCCCAGGCTGCGTTCCCCTCGGGAAGCCCCCGTGCTCTCTCCCACTGCCCCTCCGGAGCCGGAACATCCCCCTGCTCCACTGCCACCACCCTCGTCATCCCAGCAGGGCAGGTCCCAGGAGCCACAGACACTGCCAGGAAAGTTTTTCCTCACCTGCCCCCCCCATCCCCTCCGACTACTACCCCTTCACAGAGAGGAGAAAGAGGATAGATTTATGCTTTAAATACATTTTATTTATAACCAACATTTCCAGAAACCGAATTTGGCATTTTCTCTTATAATCTTCTGTAAAGATTTCATGCATAACTTGAAACTTGTCAACTGCAACAGTCGAGTGGTAACTTTAAGAAGAGACAGAGACAAACATCCAGACAACAAACAGCTGTATCTGAATTAACAAAACTTGTCTATTACTAACCTTATAAAGCAGGACGTGCCTTCCCTCTTATCAAAACCAAGCTGACAGATCTGCTTTTATACACACCCAACAGAATAAACTCTGTTATCGGCAAGGACGTTCTCCTTAAACGTTAGGAAAAAAAAAACAACAAAGCAAAGAACGGAGTGACTGTCCATAAACCAGTCTGTGCTTCAGTCTTCTTTAATCTACTTCTTCGATGGTGGGGCCGCCAGAGCCACCCGCCCCAGCCCCTCCGTCTCCCCGGTACAATTTTGTGACGATCGGGTTGCAGAGTTTCTCCAGCTCTTTCTGCTTGTGCTCGTACTCCTCCTTCTCAGCCATCTGGTTGCGGTCGAGCCAAGAGACCACCTCCTTGCACTTGTCGAGCACCTTCTGCTTGTCCTGGTCACTGATCTTTCCCTTCAGTTTTTCGTCCTCCACCGTCTGCTTCATGTTGTAAGTGTAGGACTCGAGGGAGTTCTTGGCTGCCACCCGATCTCTGTTTGCTTCGTCCTCTGCCTTGTACTTTTCTGCCTCTTGCACCATGCGGTCGATGTCGTCCTTGCTGAGGCGACCCTTGTCGTTGGTGATGGTGATCTTGTTCTCCTTCCCCGTGCTCTTGTCCACGGCGCTGACATTCAGGATACCATTGGCGTCGATGTCGAAAGTGACCTCGATCTGGGGGACTCCTCGGGGTGCTGGGGGGATGCCTGTGAGGTCAAACTTGCCCAGTAAGTTGTTATCCTTCGTCATGGCCCTCTCACCCTCGTACACCTGGACAAGGACGCTGCTCTGGTTGTCCGAGTAGGTGGTGAAGGTCTGAGTTTGTTTGGTGGGAATGGTGGTGTTGCGCTTGATGAGAGCAGTCATCACTCCTCCAGCTGTCTCGATGCCCAGGGACAGAGGGGTGACATCCAACAGCAGCAGATCCTGCACATTCTCAGACTTGTCTCCCATCAGGATAGCTGCTTGCACGGCAGCACCATAAGCCACAGCCTCATCGGGGTTGATGCTCTTGTTGAGCTCTTTACCATTAAAGAAGTCCTGTAGCAGCTTCTGGATCTTGGGGATACGAGTAGAGCCACCCACCAGCACAATCTCCTGGATCTGGCCCTTGTCGAGCTTGGCATCACGCAGAGCCTTTTCCACCGGCTCCAGGGTGCCACGGAAGAGATCAGCATTGAGCTCCTCGAAGCGGGCACGAGTGATGGAGGTGTAGAAGTCAATGCCCTCAAAAAGGGAGTCAATCTCAATGCTGGCCTGCGTGGAGGAGCTGAGGGTGCGCTTGGCCCTCTCACAAGCTGTGCGCAGCCGTCTCACTGCCCGCTTGTTGCCAGCGATGTCGCGCTTGTGCTTGCGCTTGAACTCTTCCACAAAGTGGTTCACCATGCGGTTGTCAAAGTCCTCCCCACCGAGGTGGGTGTCACCAGCTGTGGACTTCACCTCAAAGATCCCATCTTCGATGGTAAGGATGGACACATCAAAAGTGCCCCCTCCCAGGTCAAAGATGAGCACATTCTTTTCTCCGGCCCGGGTTCCTTTCTTGTCCAAGCCGTAGGCGATGGCAGCCGCCGTGGGCTCATTGATGATGCGCATCACGTTGAGGCCAGTGATGGTGCCAGCATCCTTGGTGGCCTGGCGCTGGGAGTCATTGAAGTATGCCGGCACTGTGATCACAGCATTCTGCACCTTGCGCCCCAGGTAGGCCTCAGCAATCTCCTTCATCTTGGTGAGCACCATGGAGCTGATCTCCTCTGGGAAGAAAGTCTTCATCTCCCCCTTGTACTCCACCTGCACCTTGGGCTTGCCACCCTCATTCACCACGCGGAAGGGCCAGTGCTTCATGTCTGACTGCACTGTGGGGTCGTCATACTTGCGGCCAATGAGGCGCTTGGCATCAAAGATGGTGTTGGTGGGGTTCATCGCCACCTGGTTCTTGGCGGCATCGCCGATGAGTCTCTCGGTGTCAGTGAACGCCACATAGCTAGGTGTGGTGCGGTTGCCCTGGTCGTTGGCAATGATCTCCACCTTGCCATGCTGGAAGACGCCCACGCAGGAGTACGTGGTGCCCAGGTCGATGCCGATGGCCGGCCCTTTGGCAGACATGGTGTCGGCTCTCTGTGCGCTGCTGCCTTTTCCGTGCCTCCCCCGCCCGATCCCGCTGCCGCCGCGGCGCGATGTGCCCGGCCCGCGCCTCCGCCGCCCCTTTTATGCCCGCCGCCGCCGCTTCTGGAACCTGCCAGAACCCTGACGGCCAATCCGGACGCCTCGAGAGCCACCCGCTGGCCAATCGTGCCCGCGGTCCGCCGGGCAGCGCCCGCCCCCCGCCTCCCGGCGAATCAGAGACGCGAGCGCGCCCCCCCCCGGCCCCGGCCCCTCCCCGCGGCCGCGATCCTTCCGGGTTTTTCTTGTGCGCCACCGCCCTCGACCAATCACCGTCCGTGCTGCGCGCTCGCCCCGCCCCCGCCGCACGTTTCTCCTGGAAAGTTCCAGCTGGGGGCTGACGTCATGCCGAAGATTGACAGCGGCGCTGCCCAATGGCGGGGCGGGGGCCGGGTTGGGTGGCCGCTTCGCTCCGCCCGGTCGGACCCCCCAGGCGCGGGGGTTGCGGGGGCCGCAGGTTCTTGCCCGCTGCCGCCGGCCGCTGTTTATCATTCTTGAGTGCTCAGTCCTGGCGCTGGGGAATTTACCCTTATTTGGTCGCTGGGCGACACAAATTCCACCCTCCCTCCCTCCCTCCCACACACACCCTCCTTCAGCCTCCCCCCGCTTGTGTTAGGGCTGTACGGCCGCCCCCCCCCGGGCGCAGAGACCCCCGAACTGTCACGGCGGAACGTCCCCTACACAAACACGCACAGTCCGCGCCCTCCCTCCGTGGCTGAGGGAAAGTCCCGCCGAGCCCCTTTTTAGCCTTATTTCGGCCGAACTTGGCGGGCTGACACCCCCCGGTCTCCACGGGGACAGCGGGGCCGGTTTGTCCCCGAGCCAAGGGAGCCTCTTGTTGCTGCTGAGGGGCTGCTGCGGGGGGGTACCTGAGGGCAGGGGATGGCACCGGGCTGTCCCGTCCTGTCCCGGCACCACAACTCAGGGAATGGCACCGGGCTGGTCTATGCCGGCACCAGAACTCAGGGTGTAACCCACAGCTCTCCCGTGCTGTCCTGGCACCAGGACTCAGGGAATGGCACCAGTGCGGGATTGGGGGGCCCTGTTTCTGCGTGTTCCTGCGCGGTGACCATTCTTGAAGCGCCTCTAAATTCTTGTCTGTTGTGCTAATGTGAGATGTCGTCACGCCTACGTTTAGCAAAAGCTGTGGAGCTATTAACTCGGAGCTAGGAAAGTGCTTTGATGAAAATATATTAAACATGAAAACCTGCTGTGGTTCCTCCAAATTATTCCTCCTTGCTTTGAGACAAACACTGCAAAATATTCCACTTGTAGTAAGCAGGGCAAAACACCATCCTGAGAACTTTTTTTTCTTTTTTCCAGGGAGTCTTAGTGAGATGCTCCTTTTCAGCAGCTGCTTTATAAGTGTTACTAAAAGTCTGCTGCCCTTAGACTTTACAAGGTACACGAGAGAAGGATTAAATTCGCTGTGTGATTAAATCATCTTTCATTAGCTTTGGCCCCGGCCCTCAGCACTATGCTGTAGCAGACCTTGTAGAAAATATGTTTTCTACAAGAAAATATGTTTTCCCAGAGTGATCTGTACTCACGCAATTGTTACAGGCAGTGGAACTCCCGATCAAAAACATCCTTGTTTCCATTAGTGTGTTTTTCAAAGCCTTTTTATAAGAAATGAGGGCTCTACCTCCTTTGTGTATCGTGTGTATGTATTTTTGAGGTGGAAGAGCCTCAATTTCTGACCATAAATATTGTACACGCTTAAATAACTATTATTCTTCCGCAGATACTGGTCTTTTTTTTTTCACACAGGTTCTGACGTTAGAGAAATCCGAAAGAAGTCAATGGAAAATGGAAACCACTGGCTGTCCCCACCTCCGACAGGAGCTGCTCTGTATATACTGTGTGCATATTTCTTTGATGGGAAGGGTGTCGGTTTCTCTTGTAGTTAGACCAGTGACTGATTCATCCCTGAACCATCTCTTCCTGTAATTCACTGTTACTCCATTCAGTTGATTGTATTATATGGAGCAGGGAGAAATGCCAGGGCAATACAAAGAGCGGAGATTGATAAATTCCATTTCATCTGAAAAGTTTATGTTGTTTATTATTTGTAGCCTTGTGAGGACTGTCCCTTAGGAACGCTAGTAATGCACAAGAACTCTGTTTTGATAGCTGCAGTACAAACTCAGACCTTGTTATTTCAGAGTAAAAAGAGGATTCCTGCCCCAAAAACATATGTACAGAAACAAGAGATGGAAAGAACAAATGGAGGAAGAAATAACACAACAGTATTGATTAGCACAATATGCAGTCTTTGCAGCAAAATTAGTTGGAAGTGTCATTTAAGTATAGCTGTAATCTAACAGGTTTTATCAGATTTAGAAGTGACATTTCATTAATTTGGCCCAAAGCTTTTACCTATGCTTTATCAGCCCAGGCACAAAATATAAGCTCCAGACAACACTTGCTTGGGGTTTCCTTGGCCCAATAACTAGTTTGGCCCTGATATGGTTGTGCTGATACCCAAATGTGCTGATAACCTGCTAAAGAGATGTTTCCAGCCACTGGATTGCTGCTCACCCTGAGAGTATTTTCTCGGTCCTGTTCATTTCATCACTTTAATTGTTTTGCTATAGAAATTTTGGGGAAAAGGTCTTGAAGGAATGTATGGACACAATATTTAATGCCAATGGCGTAAATGAGACACTTGTGGCCATTCTCAGGAAAAATCCAAAGGTCTGTGGACTCAGGCTACCAAATATTTCATTCAGCCTGTTGCAGAAGTATTTCTTTTCCAGCTGAGTATGCAGGTGCTGTTTTCTTCTTACACAATGATATGTCTAGGTCTGAGCTGTTTTTTAAGCCTTCATTCCTAATCAGAAGTTCACGTGATGTTCTTGCCACTGTTTCTTACTGATGTCCTTAGAGAAAGTCCCGTCTAACGAGAGGGAGCAACCTCTAAAATCTCATTAGATTTATTCTCTCTTCTCAGCAGAGCTATTACCAGCCTGCTTTTTGTCAGCAGTTTGTGAACCAACTCATCCATGCAGTCATCCTCTCATATGGGAAGAGACACATGATTCTCTTTTATGTTGCTTCATATGCAGCCATGCTACAGGTGAGCCAAACCGACTGGTTCGGAAATTAAAGAGTGAGCTTTATGGGGAGGACTTCAGCACAAGTCTGATTTTCGCTTTAAAAAAACAACTGCTGTTATTCCCCCATTCTGAATCTGTGAGCTGTAACTTCCAGAAAAGCAAGTCAGCACCTCTGGAAGTGGCAGGTGCCTTTCTGATCCATTAATTTGTGTTTAGGATCAATAATGCACCCCTGTCTCCCATTTGGCAGTGCTATGTAATACGCTGTAGGCTATTCTCCATTACACCACCCAACCAGAAATGAAGATGATATGTAGATTTCTTCAGTGAAGCAAGAGCTCAGTATCTGGAGCAGAACTGAGAACTCAACCCTTATCTTTATCTTGATAAAAGGAAAATTCTTCCCCACATGTTTCATAAGGCAGTGGAGTATAAAAATAGGACTGAACCCAAGTTACAGTTCAATCAGACATCGGCCACTCGGATCATTACAATAAAGTTGAAATGGTCTGTTCAGGTCTGACAGTCAGAAGACCTTAGACCTTAAATTCTGATATCCATTTCCCTTGTATCCATTTCCCTAGTACCCATTCCCCTAGAAAAGCTATCCAGAAAATTGCATAAGTCAGATTGTATTGGTGAAAATGAATTATTTTATAATACAGCAATCAGTTCAGAAAAGTCTAAGCAACTGCTGTTCTAAGAACGAATAATACTTTGTCATGATACCTTTCCATCACTGAAATTCTTCATCTCACTGATATTTGCAAATGTATGTACAGTACTTGGAATTCAGACAAGAACTACCAGTGTATAAAATGACAAGGTTCCTCTGACAAGGTGCTGCATTAAAAATCGTATTTATGTGGGGGGAACTATGTAACTTATCTTGTATTTATGTACCTTCAGGTTTTGTGCGCAGCCGCTCCTTGTTAATTTAAAAGGCGGCCACAAGACACGATCTTTCTTAAATAAGTGTTCCTTTGTTTTTGTGAATAACAAACAGAGTTCTGCAAATCTCTATAACATGTTTTTGGCAAATTACACAAATGCTTGATTAGTACTATGGAAGTATTCAGAAGAGCAGAATATAGGGCACTGTAATTTCGTACTGCCAAACCAGGAGTTCAAAAATCATGAGTCAGATATCTTAAAATTATAAACCTAGTTTAAAATTATGAGCTTAAAAAACATATGTGGCTTTGTTCACCTTCTGGCTTGTTAATCTTTAGCATATGTTCAGATTACACTTTTAGGATTTTCCATGTAATTGGCAGATCTAATTTTTTTTAATACATAAAATAGCTGATTACACCATCTCACAACTGAAACCAGGCTGCCGCAGGTTAATTAGACTCAATAAAATCATGGAAGTTGTCAACACTGATTAAACTACTGCTTGATGTTTCAAGGAATAATTATTTTATAGTTAAGCGGTTTTAAAGCACATTTATTTACATAGACTTCTGACAGTTTGCTGAGGCATGATTAAAAGCTGAGGTTAGTATCACTAGTGCTAACTAGATAAACTGGTGTGCTGTGCATTTAAGGGAGTCAGTTCTTTATTCCCTCCTGTAACTGCAGCCTCCTTTTCTTGCACTCAATGCCAGCTCTACTGACAGTCATAAGCAAGTGACTTTAAAGCAGAGAGTTTGCAAGTAATCACAGAATCAGATCAGAAAAGGACCTCAATAGGTCACTTAGTCTCATTTTGTGTTTAACCAAAATCTCCTTTCTTGCAATTTAATGCAATTATTTATTCATATTGACTGTGGATATGAGAAACAGTTGTGCTGTTTTTCTTTGCAACCAGCTTTTACATATATGAAAATCATTGTGTTTTCCCTCCACCATCTCTTCTGTAAAATTACATAAAATCATTCAGCCTGTGCTCAGGGAAGAGAAGTTTTCTGTTTTCAGACATTCATTGCTTTCTTCTGGATTCTCTGCATGCACCCTGTATCTTAGTTTTCAAGTGCTATGATCAAAACTGGAGACATCACCAGCTCATGCCTTTGTGGTTCTGAAGGAGCAGATTTATACCCCAGTTCAGACATTTCAGTTTTTACCTTTTTTTTTGCAACAGCAGGATGCTGCAGACTCATTTTCAGAATCTGATTGAGAATAACCCATTGATTCTTTTCCAGGGAAAATAAGAAGGTAGATTTAGTTTAGATGTAAGGAAGAAATTCTTCACTATGAGGGTGGGGAGGCCCTGGCACAGGTTACCCAGAGAAGCTCTGGCTGCCCCATCCCTGGAAGTGTTCAAGGCCAGGTTGGATGGGCCTCGGAGCAACCTGGTCTAGTGGAAGGTGTCCCTGCCCATGGCAGGGGATCATTAAGGTCCCTTCCAACCCAAACCATTCTGTGATTCTATGCAATTAAGCCCCTGTTCCTTTAGTTGCATGTCTTATAATTTCAGCTTGCACTTGTTCCTATTAAATAGTATCTTATGTTTTCAGATCACCAGGATTATTTTGAATTCTAATCTTATCTTTTAATGTGCTTGAACTCTGCTTGGTCTTGTCGGAAGATATTAAAAGGATACTCTATATAGTCCAGGGGGTGAATAAAGGAAACTGAGAATTTTATCTAGAACTGCTGTGATGGGGTTAAAACAATAATTGTTGGCAGTAACTGTAAAACTGGAAAATGATGATAAATCTTAAACAAGGGAAACAGTGTACTGTAAACACAGACAAAGACCAATACTTCATACTCAGAGATCAATACAGTGGGATTAATCTCTCAGATTTACTTAAACACTTAGTGTGAAGAATTTTCATAATAATTGAACTGTAGCAGGCCTATAAATGTTTCTTATTTTTTTATTCTTACGATTATTTGATTTTTATTCATCTCCGTTTTCCCTCTTGTCATTAGCAGGTGAATGGGAAAAACGCAGGAGCAGATGAAGCAGGCGGTAACTGGAACTTCACTCTGTTGCCAGGACTGTTATAAATTCAGGTATAAGATGGAATTAAATGAGAATAATAAGCAGATTTGTAAGATTATTTTATTAAAGATACTGTAGCAAAGCACAGAATAAGCTTTAAAGATTATGAAAACTAACTTGGAATGTCTTTACTGATACTCTACATGGACTACAAGTAATTGCTGAGTTACAGAACAGTCACAGCCTGTTCTAGGTGTCCTACACTTTGTATACTGTTGAAGGCCTATCTTTAGGTGGTGCTATAATATTTCCCTTCTCTCCTCTGCTTTGTGGTGGTCCTACCATGCAGGTCCTTCCTGTTCTCTATGGAAAGGACATCCCATTTTCATTTAGATTTCCCAGCTATATTGTGCCTTCTCCCTATAGAGTCCCCAGTGGTATCTGGCTTTGCCCAGATATTCAGTCTTCCCCTTTGCTCCATAAAGCCACTGGGACAGAAGTGTCAGCATTCCAATACTGCACTGAAGGCTTTTAAAATGCCTATGTTAATGTTTAAGATGTTATGTGTTAAAAGAGCTGATGCCTTCAACATCTGTATGCTGAAACTTTGGGGGCTATGTAATTAGATTAAGCAACCACATTCAAAGATACCTGAACATCTTTTCTTGCATTTGTATAGCAACTTTATAAACTATAAAAGAGTAAATCAAGCACAGACACATGCCCTATACAAGCTGCAATACAGACAATATTGTACACACTTTGTAACAACAGTAATGAAAATGATGCCAAATATAAATAAAATTATAGACAGACTCTTCTTGAGATAACAGTTATAGTGAACAATGAAACATCCTTTTATAATCATGAGTAGAATTAATAAGATGCGTAACTACAGCAGAATATAATCAGCGTGTTTAGTCTGCTTACGTCTTAATTTGATCCACTGTTGTCTGGGGGAAGCAAAAGAAATTAATATTTTTCTAATCCATGCTTGCCCTAATTTGAAACATTTACTGCCCTAGTGGTCTTTTTGTTAGGTTTGGGGTTTTTTTCCCCCACTAATTTAGCTGGAAACATTAGGATTCCTAAGATGTTCAAATCTGAACATGAATGCCTGATTCTCCTCTTCAAGCCAGCTTTTGCAAGGCTTAGATGCAGAACAAGGTGCACCCTGTGCCCTGTGAAGATTATTTCACATTTATTCATCTCCTTGTTGGTAAAAACTTTTCACCATTCTTGTAATAAGACCAGAGCACCATTTCTTTACTTTCCACATACAAGCACTGTGCTTCGTGGAAGGTCCTCTTCAGCTTGCAAATGATGATCATGGCAGCAGGGGGAATCAGGTCAGCTGGATCTCTCTCACCATCCTGTCCTTCCTCAGGGCCCCTCTGTCCTCAGTTTTTAAGATTTTTTTTTCACCTTGTACTCTTTTCTTTTTCTTTTTTTTTTAACATTTGATAGTTTAGCATTGTACATGAGTATACACTTGTAATGTTTAAACTAAAAAATCTAAACAGTTTTTGACAGCAGCTCTAAGAAGCCTCATTTCAGAAAAGGAGCACTCCAGCACATGAATAGCAAATTCTGCAAACTCACTTCAGTGCAGCCCTGAACACCTGGCATCTGCCTCTTTTGGCTGTCTGCTCCAGGAAAGACTTCAAATTTGTTTGTAACAGGTGCAAATAAGAGTCACAAGGAAGTAAGTTTTATAATACAGAGAAGAGTCCAAAACAACTTTTACTGCATGTTCTAATTTGACTGCTTTGGTGCCTTTTGCGACTGCTGCAGTGTGTCAAAAAAGCAAAGGTGGTGCCAACTCAGATCTGGCACACGTGGTTCTGAGTTTTATGAAATCTTTTGACGACCAGTTCTTCCTCATGTCTTCTTCAAACCTGGTCCTCTCAGTTGTTCAGAAGCTTAGAAGTCCCTATTTCACTACTGCCATGCAGAAAAGAAATGCAAGAAAAATATTAAAAGTCAGAAGCCCGCACTGCAGTACTGTATTTGCTAGCACGATGTGGTCCCTCCCACCTCACCATGTGTGGTTTTACTCTAAATACCCATCCTTCAGTTATATTCAGAGCACCCACCACAGTCAGGAGCTCTTTTTAAATGCCATACAGTTCATTTCCTTCAACCCCTACCCCATCAAAATACAACCTTAAACAATGTTGTGATATTGTTTCAGAAACTTGTTTGTTTCTTTCTCCTTTGCCTTCCATTTTCAAAACAGCTAAAGATTTGCTGAAGAAAACCTTCACTTCCCAAACCTCACAGAAGTTATTTTTGATACTGTGTGTGTTACTTTCCAGCAGTGGTTTATGGCTTGGCTTAGTAGATGCTCAAAAAAATTGCACGCGTATAATTTCCCTTAAGCCTGGACTTCTCATAGCTTGGAATGTGCTCACTCTGGAATACTTCTTACTGCTTCATATTTGCCTTTATTTTTGGTTGTGGGGTTTTTTTCCCTTGCCTAACTCTGAGGTAACTGCTATGTATTTACTTAGCCCCCTTCCTCAAATTCTTATTTTAGGTTAAAAACAGATAAATTATACAAGTATTTAAAATTTCTGTCTCTTTTGACCAAACTATTTTATGACAAATATGAGCAGCTTTGTATCTGATACGAACAATCAAGAAATTGGAAACGCATGAATGTAACTTTTGAGGACATGGGGGTTTTTTGGTACACTTTTCTTCTGTGGATATGTAAATCACATTGTACAAAATATATGACTGTTCCACTTCTAATTTACACTTGATGTTTCTATGCACACTGTGGCACTCCCAGACCAAGTGGTTATGTCTACACTGCAGAGCTGGGCAGGCTTCAAGGCTGCACATGAAGCCGGGTTTATCAGCTCTCTGCATTACTTACCTGCCAGAGCATCCTCAAGGCCAGCTTAGGGCTGACTTTCCTGGCACACCTTTGAGGGGAGTGATGCTCCACACTTGGTGTGCACTGCAGGGAGCCCCGTGTGACATGTGGCCAGGCCCTCACCCGCAGCATGTGCCAGGCACAGGCTGCTCTGTGTGTTCTATCTGCCCTCTGTGCCATGTCACACACTTGGTGGTGGGCAAAAAAGCAAACGGGGACAAAAGGCTTTTGTTTCCTGCCATGAGGGTGATGTGAACGGGGGAAGCAGGCCTTAGGCAAACTACTACTGTCAAAGTACTGCTGGTTCTGGTGGCAAATCCATTTGTCTACCTAACACGTTCTTAAAATCTTGGAGGGGAATTCACTGGACCGATGCTGTTATCGCAAAGTAGCTCTTATGTAACTTGCTCAAAAGTCAGGAAGTACCTCTTTTCTTTGTAAACTAACAAAGGAGAAAAGCCATTCTAACTACAGTATGCATGTGAGCATTATTTTTCCCCAGGCAACATCAGTGTTTAGCATTGCTATTTATTAGGATGCCGGCCTGCATTTTGCAGTCAAAGATCTCTGTTACCTGCAGATCACACACAGCTCACGCACACGACTGAACTTCATTACACCACCACCCTCAGACACATTGACTGTGCTGTGTGGGACCACCTCTGAGTGCAGGAAGGTGGGCTGCCTGGGAATATTAAATATTTTTCCGATGAGACTGCAAAATACTGCTAATCAGTGCCAACTGTGGTGGGGTGGTGAGCACACAGACCTGCTGGCACAGCCGACAGCTTGCAGCCCACAGTAAGCCAGATTAGAGGTAAAACGTTGTGCCCTCCTCGCAGGCTCTAAAATCCCCCAGCTGCCCTAAGAACAGAAGCTGTTTTGGGGATGCACAGTTGCAGGAGGATCAGCTTCACCCTCCTCTTAGCAAGCGGAAACGTTCGAGCCTTTGGAATGAGAACATGCGCGTTCCCAGCGAGCCACAAGATGGCACCCACAGCCCCATTCCCCGTATCCCTGAACATCTGCAGAATTCCAGCCCTTCGGAGAGGTTACAGAGGATGCAGCTCCTTCCACTTCATCAAAATCGGAGGAAGCCTGTGATTAGCTGGATGTTTACAAATAAAAGGAGGATCTGGAGACAGATCAAAGATAACTCTCCAGATTTGGCACAGACGCCATGTACTTGTGCCAACAGCATCTGCATGGGCTCAACTGTTACATGAAGTGGCTGAACTTGGTGTATCTCATCATGTATTAAAAATGCTTTTTAATGCTTAGTGCATTTATTAGAAGTCTGAAGATTCAGCCAGCTAAGGACCTGACAAAAACAAAAAAACAACATCTCCCAGCTAACATGATCTAACAGGCTTCATTTAAGAGAAGCACCCACGGGGTTCTTCCTCACCCTGCTTTCTGCAGTGTAAAGGGAATCAAGAAGCAAAGATAAGCACTGTTCCAAAATCCAAAGGATGTAGTACTTCAGACTCAG